GTAACAAGAGTTGCAAACGTGACGATAATCATGAGGATGGAGAAGATAAAAGCGAATTTAAAGTAGCCAAGCTCAAAGTAAATACAGGGAAATGCTATGGAGAAGATCCAGATGGCGACTGACATCTTGATGGCTCGTTTACGCGGGAGTTTTCTGTGATATGACGCGTTTACCGCGATGGCCCGCTCTATAGCTAACATGGCGATACTTAGAAGTGATGACGTACAACCAATAAAGAACGACATGTGAGGCAAGACATACCACGTGATCACTGGGTATCCAAGTGCTTCCCTGTAAGACATTGGAATGCTTTAACACACACATGATAGTTTTATGTTATAAAGAAAGGACACACCACGTTCACAGCTTCTTTTCMTGGGAACATGTTGTGATATTTCTGATATACCATAGTCTCTCTTTGTTTCTTCGAAACAGTATTACGCATTGCATTCTGGTTTAGGTTCGTTACAGAAATATTTTGTTCCTGCGCGCGCGATATTGTATTGTTTGTACTGAAACTAGACCACCACAATGCACCATTATTTGTATTTCAGAAAATTCCCATGAAAGAACAATTCGATATTGCTGAAGATGGTTATTCTAACCCTGTGATCGGAGYCTTCACTTCCTCATAAATCGAGAATTAAAGATTGAGTATCTCCTTGAAAGATGAAAGTCCTTTCAAGAGGAAAAGAGAGACTCATGCTGGGAGAGAGGGAGTGGTGGGGGCATGTTATATCATACCTTATATGGAATAACACAAATATTGGGTCAGTAATGGCACCAACAAGAAGATCCGAAATGGCAACATTCATCAGTAAGTAGTTGAATGCCGTTCTTAACTCCTTATTTGGATCTTTCAGGATTGCAATACAAATGAGAAAATTGCCTGGAGCAGTGATGACTGTCAGGAGACTGGTGATGACYGACGTTGTAATCGATAATCCAAAGGGAGCCCGAACTTCTGTACATTGGTTTTCYCCCAAAGGCATCCTCTACTTTGTGGTACTGAGGTACGATAGTAATGTAAATATAAAGAAAATTAAAAATGAGAATTTACAATATGATATACTTTCAATGTACATCTTTTTTGTGCAATTTCCATTGGACGTGCATGGAACACAGGAAACTATATAGATTTAAAATCAATATTTACAAGGACATGAAAAACCCGAAAAAAAACATCAATAGAAGATGATTTCTTGGTCTTTCTAAAAAGGATGGCCGATTCCATGAAAAATATATTGTAGAAATTCAAAATGATATAGGTTTCTCATAACTGCGGAGTTATGATAATTACGCGTCATAAGCATTTTAAAATCTCCTTTTAAATCATAAGAAAATCCTAATCTTGTCATAGACTATCATCATCCTATGAAAATATAAGATCTCATACCCTTTGATGTTGCTATAAATGTTGATAAGCTTGATAAGGCTTCATTCCAAAGAAATGCAGAAGGGAAGTTTAGTAGACGAGATAAACTTAATATAATCACACTTTCTACTTTGCGTTTTGCATTTTTAATCATTACGTCGTCACCTTCACGTTTATGACGATTTTYTGTGCAAATYAAAGGASCTCAAATCAAATCTTCTTCCGCGCTGAATAAATACATTTTCCCTCTCTTTTTGGTACGTGTTTTATTTGTAATTTGGGTCCCTTTTTACATAGTTGTTACGCAAAGAGTTTTAATTGGGCTTTTTTATAGTAATTACATACAGTTTTAATTCAGACGGCCGCACGTTTTTCATTACGTAAGCTTGCGCAGATGATGACGTCACATTACTTAGTGAAGTTGTGGTAAATTGCTTTGAAACTAAAATAAAATCAGTTGAACAGCCTTTGTTAAAATGAAAGAACGATTAAGTAATAATCTCATATCCTGTCAATATAAAGTCAAACCTAGCCTCCGTACATGGGATATTTGTCCCGCGGAAGCAGATGTTTCAGATGTTAAAAACCTAAACGGAATCAGTTATACATTAAATAGTTTTCCATAGGTTCTGTATTTGTTTTGGGGAATAAAATGGACTGTGCTCTTTCTCTTTAAATGGTTTGAAATTGTGTTTTTGAGAATTTGTTGGAAAGACATGTAATTGGATGATGTTTTTTGGTGGGTTTCGTTGTCTTGCAAGGTGTGAAGCGCTCTGACTATATTGAAGCAAATATACCGTCTGTGTTAATTTTGAAGATTTTATTACCTTTCTGAAGAAGAGAGGTTTTTGAGTATTTCACGTTGATCAAAGACCAATTTTTTCATCCATTCTTAAATTTTACATAACTAACTCTTTCTAACTAAATACATTTCCAACAATACAAATCAAGATTGAGGACATTTTCATCTTATCATTTATAAATAAAACAATCTACGTTTTCTACTTATCTGGATATTCCTCATACAATACATTGATTATCTTATTTGAATGTACTTTTGAGGACAGAAGTATTTTTCTTACCTTATGGAAGTTTATCTGGATATCATATAGACCATGAGTCTATTAACGATGTAGACTTATAGACGTAGTGGGCTTGACAGTATTTTTTACCTCGTTTCCTATGTCCAGTCGCTCTTTCAAGCTATGAACTGTTTGCTTTTATTGACATCGATGACTGTATATGCCAAATACAGATTGCCAAAGATTTCTCATTTGACAAACGCYGAATGGTGCGAGAGACTGTTGGTTTTCATCATTGCGCATGATCAATCGTTAGATGTCGATATAGTATCCCATACACCATTTCGGTCTATGAACAACCTTTCTGCGCTTTGGTAGATATAGCTATTTCAAAAAAGGTTGTCGGATAAAATGGCGGATCAATGTTCAAACGGCGATTGCAAGACCGAAAGTAGTCATGGGTTTTGGTAATTGAAAGGCAATAACAACTGATTTATACTGTAACATAGTCTGTGGTAAACATTGGCTCCATTAACATGGTCTCGATTGTTATGTAAAGTGAATCCAATGAGTGAATTTTCGTTGTTTAAAAAAAGTGTAACCATAGTCCCTTTCGGTCGTACAATCTTCCTTCGACAATCGCCGTTCTCCCCGACAACGTTTTTTGAAATATCTGTATTTAACCACAGCTTCTATGAATAGATACGGATTTTATCTTCGAGTGTTAAAAAGATTTACATATTTACTATATAGAGAAACCTCGAATGTGTTATTTTCACTATCATGTTTTAGCTATAACATAAATGTTATTTTATTTTCACTCGTGAAAATGTGCGAAAGAGAGAAATATATGATAGGTATTTCATAGATGGATATAATAAATACATACATCCTAAATTCAAATTTTCCTCGCGCGTTTACAGAAAAAGTAACGCTTTCCACTATTGTTTTGATATTTATATGAATATTTCAAGTTTTACTGATGTTTCAGTTTAAAATCTAATTAAGAGTTTTCTCTGTTCATGTCAAAACGTCAGTTCATTTCGTTTTTGTAAGTTTGCTTATTAATCTTTTATGTGGCTATACTTCGATAGCGGCGTTATTGCTAAATTCGACCTCCTTTGTGCCAACTGTTCTATCAATTCATATTTTRCAAAAAAAAATTCTAAGTATTATATGCATGTAGAACTAACCGGAAGCACAAGTCAAGCATACTTGTCAAAAATAGATTTGATAACTGTAATTATTAAAGACATCTTCCCGAGTGAGTAGCCCTCTTTCGAAACTACGTACACAACTTCAAAAATCACATGAGGCGTCAGCTTGACATACAATTGATCAAACTCTTCCCGGACTTGACCAATAATTTTACTAAAGAGGTAAGAAATAATTCTCTTTACTCCGACGGAGAATTAACGTCCGAAACGTCAGTAAGTTGTTTCACCTACCTTTTTACGGTGTTAAATTTATCTTTTTACACAACTGCTCAGTCTTTAGAAACACCGTCGAAGCTCACACTAGTTTTCTGCTAGTTTTCACCATTAAAAAAAATAATATAATGTTTAAATTTCTCACAAAGTTACTGAGTGTTCTCGTTCTTAGTTATATCCATTTTGGTTCTATAATGCGGATTTCTCTTCCCATCACAGACCTTTGTTTTGTTCCCCAGAAAATGTTTCAAAAGAGTACAGCTAATTATGAAAAAGAAATGTTTTACTAAGAAATTGACACTTTCTTTTTTTGYGCAATTATACGCAGATTTTTAAAGACTTTTACCTTATTTTAAAAAGTCTCTTAAAGTTTCTAAATTTTGTTCTAATGCGGCGCGCAAATCCGTTTTATTCATATATATGTGTATATATTTTTTAATACTTTTCGGTATCTACATACATATACATTCTCATGAACTATTCATGTGTCAGGTGCAGCTCGAAAGCTTATGTCACCAATACAAACATCCAAATTGCACGTTGTCACGATTGTCGAAATGTCCAAGGAAACACAAGGAAAATTGTCAGTTTACCAAACCATCTTTACAAGGAAATTTATATTTATGAATTCTTAAGGAAGTTGTAGCTCGACGCTGGTGGCTAATTGGTTTGCAACATCTGTGAGTCATGATTTTTTTCTTTCTTTTGCTAGTTTTCCCTTTTTTATTAGAAGACAGTATGACATTTGTGGTGTCATACGTAGGTTAGATTCTGTTTCGTAAGCCTATAACATTTTGATGAAAGAGGTTGATTTGATGAAAGAGGCCAGCATATCGTACTAAGCTAGTAATATAGTATAACACTATATATTGTTCACTGTTTGAGATTTTTTTCCAGTTATCCCGAAACCTGCTTTTTGAATGCTTCTTTAGAACCTCCATTGTTAGGTTAGGTTTCGTTTTATTGTTTGGAGAGCATCAATGCTTTTGCATTGTTTTCTAAACCAATCACGAGATCCCAGTTTCTGATCGGTTCGTGACGAACCCCTATTTCGGTAAGAAGGCCCTTTCACACTTTTTAGCTGGCAAGACTGCAGGCTTTTTTTGTTCAATTTATAAACAAGGGAATGTCAATCTATTTTAGGCTATTTCTTAGTAATTTAATCCAACACCTGCTAGGCAACACGATCTGAATGTATTCTCCGCTTTTTAAGGAGGTTGTCTCACAATTATTTTAAAATTTATTATTTTAAATTGCTTGTCGTTTTGCAAAACCATCATTACTTCAAGCAAGGTCTTTTTGCTGTTGTTGATCATGATGATTNATATACATTCTCATGAACTATTCATGTGTCAGGTGCAGCTCGAAAGCTTATGTCACCAATACAAACATCCAAATTGCACGTTGTCACGATTGTCGAAATGTCCAAGGAAACACAAGGAAAATTGTCAGTTTACCGAAATCTTTACAAGGAAATTTATATTTATGAATTCTTAAGGAAGTTGTAGCTCGACGCTGGTGGCTAATTGGTTTGCAACATCTGTGAGTCATGATTTTTTTCTTTCTTTTGCTAGTTTTCCCTTTTTTATTAGAAGACAGTATGACATTTGTGGTGTCATATGTTAGATTCTGTTTCGTAAGCCTATAACATTTTGATGAAAGAGGTTGATTTGATGAAAGAGGCCAGCATATCGTACTAAGCTAGTAATATAGTATAACACTATATATTGTTCACTGTTTGAGATTTTTTTCCAGTTATCCCGAAACCAGCTTTTTGAATGCTTCTTTAGAACCTCCATTGTTAGGTTAGGTTTCGTTTTATTGTTTGGAAAGCATCAATACTTTTGCATTGTTTTCTAAACCAATCACGAGATTCCAGTTTCTGATCGGTTCGTGACGAGCCCCTATTTCGGTAAGAAGGCCCTTTCACACTTTTTAGCTGTCAATCTTTCACATATCACTGGAAAAAATCGCGCTCTTCGTAAAGGTTGTAAATTTGATGTATATATGATGTAAGTGTCCAAAATGATGTAAATTTGATGTAAATCATTTCCATCAAATTTACATCATTTTGGACACTTACATCATATTTCCATCAAATTTACAACCTTTATGGCGCGCGATTTTTTCCAGTGTATTGGGCCTGCAGGCTTTTTTTTGTTCAATTTATAAACAAGGAAATGTCAATCTATTTTAGGCTATTTCTTAGTAATTTAATCCAACACCTGCTAGGCAACATGATCTGAATTTATTCTCCGCTTTTTAAGGAGGTTGTCTCACAATTATTTTAAAATTTATTATTTTAAATTGCTTGTCGTTTTGCAAAACCATCATTACTTCAAGTAAGGTCTTTGTGCTGTTTTTGATCATGATGATTTTTATAATCTTAGCTTAAGCAATAAGTTTTATATATCATCTTTGTTTATTTATTTWTTTTTTTTKTTKTKTTTTKTTTTGTTTTTAATGTTGTTATTTATCCCAAATTGTCCTTAATTTTTTAACATCTAAGGCGTAAATGTTCATTGAATTGACGTTTTTCTTTTATCATAATTCTTTCGCATTTTTCTCGTTATTTAAGTGTTTGGAGACACTTTGTCGCTAGTCTGGCTCTGTTTTGCCAAACTTGTGGAAATTGACAGTTTGAAGCAAATATTATTTTTTTTTAGAGATATACCTATCTCTTTATTTAACTGACTTAAAAATAGATAGACACATGCCCCTAAAATTTTCATTATATATCTAATCTTAAAAAGAGCAACTTTTTCTTATAACGAGTGATATTATGCAAGGGTTTCATCCAAAAATAGCTCTACTTGTTCCTCTGTTTCGTCTCATTGACGTTTAGCACTTTGCGGTCAATTTCTCTATCARATTATCACCCAGGATGAGATTTCCTAGTTATTGTTACTAAGGTAAACACTGGAAACAGCAGGCTTATCTCACAATTTACTAAATAACTATCACTTTAATAATAATTCTAAAAAAAAAACATCTAAATAAAAGCAATTGCAAGATACTGAGAAAAGGATAGGGCAGGATTAGTAAAAACAAAAAACTGGTGAATGAGTTATAATTGTACTAAATATAAATGATTTCTATTTTATTGTTAAAGCCAAACAAGACTTAGCATATTCTGTTTAACTAAACGATTGTTTCGAAACGGAAATTGTAAAAATGCGATAATGAATTGCTTTGAGTTTTGCTATTAAAGTTATCTCATGCAAAAAACAAAAAAACAAACRTTTTTCACGGTTTGATTCTCTGAATTTTTATTGTTGTTATTTTTCTGTAATTATTTTTTTGTGTTTTCCTTAAGTGATGTAGCTCAGTTTTGCTTATATTTCGTTTTACTTTGACATTTGATCACCAAGACAGAACAAACAACTTCGTTTTACTAATTAAAAATCACGTAAATGCGTGTATAAATTGCTCTCAWTGARAGTGCTTTTCTAAATAATATAGCTTTCACYGGGATAAATTAAGATCACAAAGCAGGTTTCATTTACAAGGTCTGGTTTAAGATTTTCCTTTAAGATTGAATGAAAGCCAAAGGTCAGTRCCAATTACATAGTGAAACTAGTCTCTTTTGTGCTGTSCCGACTTCTGTTATAGAATCGCTGTCAGATCCTCTTCCATGGACTTTCTATAAAGCTCTTTTACCAAGTCATCGAGAACTTTGGCCGTAGCTAAAACGAGACAACTAAACAAACGAAGMRCAAGGCTCAACTTTCACAAGTTAGTACCAATACACCCWGTYAAAGGGACTCAATCTTTCAAAKCTGTGATAGATTCACCTCTTATGTAGTTTTTGSRATTGCGTCGAAAAGATTTGAGCGTGTCTACTGTCTCCAGAGTAACATTTACCGCCGTAATTGCGCGAAGTCSAAAAGAGGCATTGTACTGRTSTTTCAAGYATTTTCCTKTGGCAAGTACYTCGAYTTTTGGTCTACAGCTTTATAAKAAAGCTATTTACACATATATCCTGATGGGTGAGCTGAAAAGCTTACTGAAACAGCGCTGTAGAGAAGATGTAAAGTCTCCGCGTTGTTTCTCTCAATGTACAATATGCGTCGAGCACTTATAATACTCCGCATTGAGACCCTTTTAAAGAGCACAGAGGATATTTACTGTACAGTGATTTCCAGAAATTCTGACCACTACGGGGGAGGGGGGGGGATAGCCGAGGGGATTGCTTTCAATAACCCAAAATAAGCATAACTTCAAAGAATGCGATTGACTTACAATCTATAGCTTCAGTTAAAAGAGCAAAAATTACACGAATAAAGGTTAAACTAGGCCAGAATTTCTGTAATTTACTGTATATATTGAACTGAAAAATAGACCTTGACTGACGTTTTTTGATTCAAGGTTTTGTTGCTAGAGTTCTGTTTTGTGTCATTGTTTTCGTATCTTAATCGCCGAAACCCCAATGCTGTAGCAGTTCATTACGAAACTGTTTCGAAACAGTACTGTAGCAATATAAGAATGGATCCATCTCAAAATATATTCAACAGCTATTTCCAGTATTATGTATTTTWGAAGATGTTTATATATCAAAATTTCCAAACATTCATGATTATTACTGAGAATCTTTGTTTTTCCAATTTTCCATAATAGTTATATTCATATCATGTAATAAATTKTTTTTCATTTTCAAGGATAAATGGCATTCGGCGATGATAATTGCGCTGGCGTTCAGGCTCCCTTTGGATTATCGATTACAACATCTGTCATCACCAGTCTCTTAACCCTGGTCACTGCTCCAGGCAATTTGCTCATTTGCATTTCATTTCTGAAAGATCCAAATAAGGAGTTAAGAACGGCATTCAACTACTTACTGATGAATGTTGCCATTTCKGATCTTCTTGTTGGTGCCATTACTGACCCAATATTTGTGTTATTCCATATAAGGTATGATATAACATGACCCCACCCCTCCCTCCCTAGAATGAGTCTCTCTTTTCCTCCTTGAGAGGTCTCTTTTCTTGTCAAGGAGGTTTTTCAATTTTCCTCGATTTTCGAAGAAGGGAAGACTCCAATTACAGTGTTAGAATAACTTTCTGCAGCAAGTATCGAATTGTTTTCACGTGGAAATTTTCTGAAATACAAATAATRGTGCATTGTGGTCTAGTTTCAGTACAAACAATACCATATCGCGCGCGCAGGAACAAAATATTTCTGTAACGAACCTAAACCAGAATGCAATGCGTAATACTGTTTCGAAGAAACAAAGAGAGACTATGCGGGCATATCAGAAATATGTGTCCTTTCTTTATGGCATAAAACTATCATGTGTGTTTAAGCATTCCAATGTCTTACAGGGAAGCACTTGGATACCCAGTGATCACGTGGTATGTCTTACCTCACATGTCGTTCTTTATTGGTTGTACGTCATCACTTCTAAGTATCGCCATGTTAGCTATAGAGCGGGCCATCGCGGTCAACGCGTCATATCACAGAAAACTCCCGCGTAAACGAGCCATCAAGATGTCAGTCGCCATCTGGATCTTCTCCATAGCATTTCCCTGTATTTACTTTGAGCTTGGCTACTTTAAATTCGCTTTTATCTTCTCCATCCTCATGATTATCGTCACGTTTGCAACTCTTGTTACKTCATTTCTTCGTATCCATAGCAACGTCCGTAAGCACGTTTCTGTTAAGAGCGAGCCGTCTGAAGATTGCTCTAAGAGTTCCAAAAGCATCCAGGAAAAGCGCCTTGAGTATGAGAATCGTGTCACTCAAATYTTCAAGGCCATCTTGATCTTCTATGCTGTTTGTAATGCCCCTGCATTCGTCTTTATATTCATCGTCAATTTGTGTGGGTCATGTGACTGTGTTTTGATTCATTGGTCACGTGACCTCCTACTTTTGTGTGTGCTGACAAACTGTGCTGGGAATCAGTTTCTGTACGCGTGGAGAATGAAGAGTTTCACAAGGGCGTTCCGCTCGTTGATTAAGCAACCTGTCTCCGAAGCTTCCGTGGTGCTTGGACAGAGCACAAATARCCCGTAATTTCTCATAATTTCGTAATGGTAATTTCTCAAAATGTCTTTTATTACTATATACGAAACTAGAGAATATAATCAATTGTGTGCTCGGATAAGCTATCCGATTTCATGTTTTATTAGACACTAATTCTCGTGAAACCTATCGATCACTCTAAAATACAGTAGAAGAAGTCGTATCCTTCCTAATGTCACAATTGACTAAAAAAATCGTGGATTTCCATCCWATGTTAAAAAAATCTGGATGTCAATGGCTTGTACAAATATTTACAAGGGTATGCAGGATATTAGTAGAAAAATTAAAAATAGATTCAGTTCCAAATCACAAAGTGTAATATTAATATTGGATTAATATTTTACCTTGTAAATTCTTTGTAAATTTATCGCTAACATTCTGTAAAATCCCTGTAAATGTTTGACACATTCTACACTTTTTCTACCTACCATGGCAAGGGCTACTGTTGCTACAAATTTCCTACGATTCATAGTATTTTTATAAGGAATTTTGTTGATTTTGAACCTTAAAAATCTCTGTAAATAGCCGACTTGCGAATTACGCATCAATAGTCACATACAAAGGAATCAAGACGAGGCGCCGTGCTTTTTTGTGAAAAATCTATTGTCTTTAGCACGGCGCCTCGTCTTGATTCCTTTGTATGTGACTATTGATGCGTAATTCGCAAGTCGGCTATTGTTTACTGTATACTGTTAAATCCTGTAATTTTTTTTATGTATTCCATACTTCGCCGTTGCGTATTGAAATCGCTGTTTTTTCCAGTGAATTTTTTTGAATTCGATCATTTTTAAGATGTCCGTCAATGACAGTTGAAATTTGGGTAAATAAAGGAAGAAAAGCAAAGAGAACAAAGTTCAATTCCGGTAGAGATTTACCTCATCTGCAAATATTATTGACACTATGAACAATCTTTGTACATTAGGAATATGATACTGTTAAAGAAAAAAAAAGATCGATGTTAAAATGTTAAATCAGTACTACTCTGTTATTTTTCTGTTTATTTGGCTCCGTTTTTGTACAATTAAATTGATAGAACAAGCTAGAGCTTGTTTAATAAGTATTGCTGAAGTAATTGCTATCTAATGAAAAAGTATTCAGAAATATTATTGGAACATTTTACAAAAAAGGTTTGAGACTTTTAATAATGCCTATATATATTGGTTGCATTGTGAATAATTTTCATTAAAAAAGTGGCTAAATTAAAATCTTTTTTGAAGTATATAAATCTCTAAATATTTTATGAGATATGTTRTTCAGATACCAAGTGATATGAACAAACAAATTAACAAATTATAAAAAATGGCTGTCATGCAAATTCGACGATATATGTATATATTGTTTTTCAGAATTTCCTTCATTCTCGTACCCAGGTCCTTCTTAGTTTCCCAATTTTCTTCAAAACGCTGAATATACAGGTTATTGATGTCCCTCACTCTGATTGGTTTACATATCTCGGATTATTTTCTCATAGTCACCTGGCCACTATCTTTTTAATTATATATTTTTCATAGTTTTGGTGATTGTTGTCTTGACTTTTCTTGTCTTGACATTATTATCAACGAAAGTTTGAAGTCGCATATCAAGATCTTATTATTATATTATTATTATATCATCGGTTTTTGTTAAACAATTATTGATATTGATAATATCTGATATTAGATGATTTCTCAATCAACCAACATTATCTTGACTATAAATCCTCCAAAGGCAATCATTATATGCAGTATTGACCAAAGAGGTGTCACACGTCGGAAGACGGTTTCATACCCATACTCGCTTGGATATTCATACCCATTTTCACTTCCGACTCGTGTGGCATCAAATATTGGGGCCTGGGTAATCTACCTCTCGYGCCATGGGGGATCGACCTTAAAGGACAGAAAAATCAACCTCTACCGGTRCCAGCMAAATCAGTCCTTCAGAACACATGGAATTCAACATGATCTCGRGGACAAGGAATTAAATCATCCTTAAGGGGCCTAGAAAATCAACCTCTGGGGCCAAGRAAATAATGTGGGTTATTTAGTATTCTGCAACGCTAAAAACGATCATCTAAATTGTATACATATAATGGTATTCAAAATCACAGTATTGAATGTAACTTCAAACACAATTTAGCCTTCAAAGGTGCTTCGTTTTATGGCATTTTGCATAGTTCCCCTTCCTAAAGGAAATGGAAAGAAATGTACAGGGAAGGTACAAAACACTGGGTTTCAGTTCTGTRAAGATATCATATCACAAGCCGCCTCCTTAATTGAAATTTCAATCAGGTAAAGTTATAGATTATTCATATGAAAGGTTAAGATGACTTGAGAGTGACATCGGTTTATCCAAACCTTTTGTCTCGCACAGTGATTCAATATAGCTTTGCTTAAAAAGTTGTGATTAGTTTTTTTATGTGCACGCGGAAGACCCTGCTGTTAATTTTGTTATATTGGGAAAATTTAATATCGTGGTTGATTTTTTTGATATTTTTTGACAGGTGTTAGTTTGAACCAGAGTTCAGGATACATTGGTCATTACAAAAAGAATCAYTCTGCCCAGGTTTGGATGATTAGAACAATTAGTTTCCTCATTATTGTTAACATTGGCACTTATTCAGATATATTTTTTGTAGGCAATATTATCAGGATAGTGAGTGTACTACTAAGATATGTACTACATATAGACTTGCAAGTGGATTTTCATAGTTGACACCAATATATTTTATTGATCATGAATTCCTTAGTCCTTATTCTTCATTTTCATATTTACATATTTCTTTTTCCGCCTTTCATCTCCTGATCCTCTTCCTAATTGTTCTTCTACTTTTTTTCGTCCTCTTTCTTCATGTATACTTTTCTTTACTCTTATTTTACTCTTCTTCGTCTTCTCTTCTTCCTCCTTTTTCTTCTTCTTCTTCCTCATCTTCTTCTTCATCTCTTTCTTCTTTTTTTTTTCTTGTTCATCTTCTTCTTCATCATCTTCTTCTTCTTCTTCTTCTTCATCTTCTTCTTCATATTTTCAGTCTTCCTTTCTCTTCCTTTTGTTTCTTCTTTTACCTTTTCTCTACTGATATTCTTCCTTTTTTTATCTTTATCCTATAATTATTATTGTTGTTTCTATAGTTATGACTATTATCAATGGAAAACTTTACGTTATAAATTCTAATAAGAAAAACATTAATTACTTTGATGTTTCCTGCTTTTGGTCATGATAAAATATATTGCTAATGAATAAATATGACTGTTTTGCCAAGACATAGCTCAAGGCAAACAAGAAAACTTAGTTTTTATTATTCAAAGTCGCGAAGAAAAATTGGCCCGTAATCAAATTGCGGAGTTGAGTAATTATTTGTGACAYACATCTATTCTTTAAAGCTATCCATCCAATGCCTTTGTATATCCGTATATTTCGTATTTAGACCAATTTTCCCTGAACATCTGCAGGAGCTAAACGTCTTCAAAACACTACTTTTGTAAACAAATTTGCTAGCCACAAAATACGGTGAATTGAATTTTCTTTTATTAATATTTACCTAGCAAGAATAGTCACTTGTCTTTCTGAAGCTTCTGGTGGTCTCCGCGACATGATATCAATTYCAATCATAACTATTAATTGTCGTTGTTCTGGCCAATCGTGGCTGATCTGCATGTTTGGTGCTCAAATATTTAACTAAAGAGTATGCTCGAGTCAGAGGGCTGYAGTCTTTTGTAAAAAAGGATCGGATCTGATAGAATTAGATTCTAAGATAGCTGTCGCCTAAGTTCATTTCGTCAGTGAAGGTAAATTTCGTGGGAGTGCTGTCTGGTAAGTGTTTTGAGTTTCAAGTTTATAGTTCATTTTGATGGTGAAACTGATTTGTTCCATCACTTCGTACAGTGTTTAATTTTTTCTTCTTTAGTTGCATTGCTTAGTGCATTGACAAAATGCTCTCACATTACCAAATTTAATAATCCATTTTCTATGAAAATGATGTATCAGTAGAATTTAGTATCGTGAAAACAGTTTCCTTTCTGAAGCACAATGTTWATAGCGTTAACTTAGTGTTCAAGAAAGGCACAAAATAGCACCGCTCTTTGACTGCTTTCAAATACAGACCAGTGTACAACACAGTCTCATATTTTAATCTTCCGCTTACTTTTACTGATTACTTTTACCATGTTTGAATAAAGAGTTCAATGACAACTTCGGCAGTTACGACAATAGTTTTCAGAAAAAAAACTGCGAAGTTTTAACGCACTTATCATTCTGCGTTTCTGAGCGAACATGATAAAAAGCCATAAAGGAAATCGGATAGTAGAAATCAAATATTAATTTCATTCCATTAAAATCAACCATAAAGGATGTAGTTTATTGGTAAAGTACGAATCATACCTGCGGAATAATCAGTTCAATTCCGCTTATAATAAAAATATGAAATTTCCGCCAAAAGAAAATTACATTCGTCACAATTTGACTAAGCTTTTAACCGGATCTCTAAGGTAGGAAATTATTTCTTAGAAAGACAACTTGGACAAAGAAATCAGATTGAGATATTATCTGTTTTAGTGGTACTACTGACACTTATGAGCTAAGTGTGTTATATTATATATCAGATGACGAAATTTTGTGAATWTCAATAATGATATATTATATATATYARTGATATATTAGMTGCAATTTTGACGAAGAATTGGTATCTAGTGGAGATCTGAAAGTTTAAAGGGATAATTTTAGTATCGCTAACTGTTTTTGTAAAATTTAATCAACTCGAAAACTCAAATATATCAAGTAAAATATCATACAAAATGTCAACTTTTGCAGACGTTGTCAATATTTTTTTCTTTATTCTTTTAAAAATATACTCATGATAAGACCAACAAATGAGGAATAAGTGTATAAAGTGACGTATTCAAGACTTGATGATCAGATGTCCTTTTTTGGCTGAAAAAGAGCAACCTCATGCCAAAAGTTTGCGTATGATCACTTAATTTTGYCTTTCTGTACTATAATTACTCAAAATAACCCGCTTAAAGACCGTGTGTGAACGACTTTTGAATACATTTTGTGTTCGGGTATGGTTTCACAAATATCAACMTCACCGAATATACATACGCCCTCTTAAACTGCGCTATGTGAACGTTTTTGAATTATATTTTTATGTTCGGTGTATGGTTTCAAATATCGATTTTCACAACACAAATTCTGTATTTCCAATTCCATGCATATAGGTAAATTAATCATCACAGTCCCGGCCTATCCAGTCATTCCGGTTTTGAAAACCAATGTTCGTGTCATTGTCAGAAAKCWCGCACAAATTGTTATGTGATCAACGATGAAACGTTTTAGCGGCATTTTTAAGATTGAAAATCAGAGTTTGCTATGGTAGCAAATCTATTGAATATTTCAAGCCTGAGGACACTTTAATCAATATGTTAAGATTTAATTTCATTAAAGCGGCGAAAAGGAAGTTTTATACAAGAGGCACCTGCAGATGTTGACAATAATCTTGAGAACAGAATATTGAGCCATCACATAAAATATCAGGCCGTTATTTTTTACCAAAATATTAAAAAAAAATTATGTATGGTTTCGGGTTACCTATCATCAAAGAGTTTTCTCCGATTTTTTCATGATTGATATAAAAAGATTTAGACCGACTTACAATTGATAATGAATGCCGACCGATCTGAGATGCAGTGATTGGCATTATTTGTGGGATTCCTATTAATTCTCAATATCAGCCGAATCGTGTCATCACATTCCGTGTTAGTGTCTTCCAACATACTATTTTTTACCATACAGAAATTTTTTATGTTTTTTTTTATAATGCAATCATTTTTAGCATGTTTAAAACATATACTATCACTGAAGACCTTTCAGTAATCRYAAATTCGACCAATCTTATTTGRTTTATGTTATGRATCATAGGAAGAACTAATCATGATTATTGACCAGGGAGGGCCGMATAATTTGTCACTTTGCTTTGCCATTGCACCAATTTCCGGCATGTTATTTTAACTATACGTTGGTCTGAAAGGACTAGTTATCAATGAATGATCTACCGGAACTTYCCACTGGTGATCAGTCAATCACTAAACGTTTTTTGAAGAGCGCATATCAGTGGCCTGTATTGGAAAAACTACTTAAGCTTTGTATAAACATAGAATATACTTTCTTACCTATATTTCTATTTCCTTACCGCAATGGCCGCCATTTTTTTGACGAGATCGTGCCAAATAACAATAGTGAAAGCACTTAAGAATGTTGACCTAGTTATAAATAGAAAAAATAATGATTCCTAGGCATGTTTCTCTATTTAATGTTTGCTTTGTAAAGTAATCAAAAAAACCATACAACCTAATGGATGCTACAATTCATATTTCACAGAATTGAACGGTGGGGCGGGAACCTGTCCTTCTGGGTCAAAAAGGATGGCTCTATGAAATTTGAGAACTAGATCTATACATAAAAGAACACCATTTGAAACAATAACATACACGCGTAAAGATTTTTAAGTATTTTTGATTTATTGTAAGTCATCCGTGTGAGGTTKAAARTTAATCCAGCTTCATTTATTSTTATTTCTTATTTTATTTTTATWTTCAGTGCGATGCCKTTTGGAAGAAGCACACAATGTGCCAATGTTTGGGCACCTGAAAAGCTTTCCTTGTCCACCTCAATAATAACTGGAATTCTCTCAGTGGTGACTGTTCCTGGAAACATGCTTATTTGTMTGGCAATGTTCAAGGATCCTCATGGAAACCTGAGAACATCTTTTAACTTTTTCGTTCTCAAYTTAGCACTTTCTGACTTAGTGACAGGGTTAGTTACCGAGCCAATATTTGTCTGGTTTCACGCGAAGGARGCTCATGGAGATCCAGTAATGGGTTYCCTGTGGATGGTTCACGTTCTTTACTTTATATCATGTTTGGCTTCTTTGCAGAGTATTGCTGCACTGGCTTTGGACCGATACCTCACGGCTACTTCAAAATATCGACGAAATTTTCCYGTCCAAAAGGCTATATACATTTCAATAGCAATCTGGATTATCTCGATTGGATTGTCTATGATTTACTTTACAACCACATTCTATAAATATGTTTTGGTTTTCTCCACTGTCGCTACAAGCTCAACGCTTGGAATTATTATATTTTCTTATGTRMGGATCTACCACAGTCTTCATACTCACATTGAAAGTACCTCCTCTTCAGACAAAAGAGTTAAAGAAAAGCTTCTGAACTACGAGAAAAAGACGACAAGAGCTTTCCTCTATATATTGCTAGTCTTCGCCATGTTTAGCATCCCATCATGCACCATGGCCTACGTCATCAACTTTTGCGTCACGTGTCCTTGTGATGTCATTCATTGGYTGAGAGACTTTCAGTTCCTGCTTGCATTATTCAATAGTTCCTCGAATCAATTTYTGTATGCACTGCGCATGCCTAAGTTTCTTCAAGCGATAGGAAGCTTGCTGAGAGTTATTCCATTCGTACCATATTGTTTGAACGTTGTTGGAGTAGCAAAGGAGCAGTCGCAYTCMAACATYAAAGGACTTGAYGATATTGCATCGGACAGGTCAAAGTCAAAACAGTAAAGCTATACATTGAAGCCCACATATCAGCTATTATTCATGACCATTGTCCATATGTTTATTATTGATTTCCAAAAGACTGAGRATTGGTAGTCATTGATAATATGAGGATGAACTGTAAAAGGGGAATCTCAGCATTTTGATGAATATAACTAAAGAACATGAAAAAACATACAAAATGATAAAAGAAAAAAAACCAAAAAATCACGATGTGTACATAATTATACAATATATCGTGAATGACAAAGATGAACCTTACACACGTATAATATCATTTCATATACACTTGAAAAAAGGTGCACTTTAAACTCTGTAAATTTTATATAAAATATCCTATAAATACTCACTGGAAAAAATCGCGCACTTTTAAAGGTTGTAAATTTGATGTAAATATGATGTAAGTATCCAAAATGATGTAAATTTGATGTAAATGATTTACATCATATTTACATCAAATTTACAACAAGTGCGCGATTTTTTCAAGTGATTTTGTAAATACAATTAATGAACTTGAACTTGGACACTTACATCATATTTATAGAAAATGTACATTCCCATATATATAAGGAAAAAGGATGAATTTAAAATAATATTTTAGCTTGTATGTCCTTGCATGGGTATAGTCTTCCCAGTCTTTGATCAGCAATGYTTGTCWAATGTTTGATTGCCCAACCATGTTTGAATGATCTTGGTTCATCCAACATTTTATTGCTTGGCTGGGCCTTGACATTCTTCATT